CCTAGAATATACACTTCGAATCATGTAACTATTAACCAGCTCTCAGAACCCCTATTCACTCAGTGTTTAATACTAAATGGAACATATCAGTTAGCCGCCTGTCTGCCTATTAAATTACGATGCTAGTTTAAATCATCAGAGCAAATGCACACAGATAGATTTTTAAGTACAGTTGTCTCATAGCCTTCAGTTCCTTTTGGCCACAGATATCAAATTCACCTGCCACAAATTATATAATTGAGCTTTGGTTCCTGGAATGTAAGCTTATTAACCAGCATTAATAAAACCAAACATATAGAATGATGCTCTTAATATGATTTTAATAAAATCCTTTCAAATGCAGGCAAATGTAACAAAGATGAACCATTATGAAATGTTTTAGCAAGAGGTTTTAAATATTTTTTAAGTAAAAGAATAATCTTATAAACAAGGGAAAGTGAATATTATGTTCTTCTATGAAAATACATGGTTGGGCACTGTTTGCTCCTTCCAGTGTGGGAATAAGGACTGGCAGTTGGAGTATTAACTAAGAAAGATCAAACTGAAAATAACCACGAGGGTCCCTACCTTTTGAAATAGCTTTCTAAGTGGAATTCCAAATTTCTTTGGTTATTTGCCTATCTATTCATTTATTTGCTTACTTATTTGTTCATTTCCTCCACTCATTTTACTAAAATGCAAGCTCGAAATGGCTAGCACAATACCTGTCACACAGCATGTGTTCAAAGAATATTTATGGATTTTTGAACCAATTCATTCTTTCAGACCTCAAGCATTTATTGAATGCTTACCACAGGACAGGTTCTAGATATTCTATATGAAAAAGGAATTCCACTGGAAATAAGACCAAGTCATGAAAAGTATCTCTAAATTAAAGGAATCCAGCAATATTTTCTCACTCTCAATTCGGTCTCAATTTAAACTAAGAGGATAATTCTCTGCCCTGCCCAAGAATGGCAGGGAACAACGTAAGCCAGGATGGCACAAGTCCCATAAGGATGTAGCACAAAACCAAACTCCAGTTAAAAAGGAACCGGCTGGGTTGTGGGCACAGCTACCAAATGGTAGTGGCTTTGTAACGATGAAGCCGTTCTGTATCTTGGCTCTGTGACAGGATCGCACAAATCCATACATGGCATGAAATTGCATATAAATAAAATGACACACACACTCTACAGAAAAGAAGCGCATGTAGAACTGGAGAAATCTGAATACCATTGGTAAGTCATACCAGTATCCGTTTCCTACTGTGATAACCCTGTAATCTGTGATTACAGATGAGGGTATATACAAATCTGTGATTACAGATGATGTTACCATTGAGGAAAATGAGGGGGCCATACAAGACACCACTTGCTCTGTGCTATTTCTTGTAACTGCGTATCGATCTACAATTATTTTTAAGTAAGTTAATAAATTAGTAGAATGCTTCTCAAAGAATTCTTTATATTAGCAAAGCCTTGACACCAAGATAAATGTCTAACAAAGGTGTGAACCTGTATGAACGTATATCAAGTAATTACAAATAATACAATTCTGCATTTGTAACATGACAGGGTGTTCACCGTTCAGTAAGGAAAAGCAGAGGGATTTGCAAAATATGAAAGTATGTCCTAATTCTGTAAAAAAGTAAAGAGCCTTTCTAAAGGTACACACCAAAATGTCATCAGCTTCTATCTCGGAATGGTAGGATCCCAGGTGATTTTGTTTTTTAATTTTGCTTCTTAGCATTTTTTTTTTTCTAAAAAGAACACTAGTACCATAACTAACACCAAAAAGGCTATGTGTCCTAGGGTTGGGGCTCAGGAGAATGTTCTGTAAAAATCAGGATAAGTGGGATAATTACAGAGAAAGCCATTTCAATTCCATTGCAGACGAGTGGGATGTGAACCACCACCTTATGAGCCCTTGGCTGCCAATGGGAACGGCGTTCAGAGCCTAGTGAATTCCTTACTAGTAATTCTCTGGATGGGAGTCTGGCTTATGCACACTGGGAGGTTGGACTCAGCTACTTTCCAATTCTAAAACTCTGTGCATTTGATTTTGCAACAAATCTAACAGACATCACCTCTCATTGCAAAAGCCACTTTTGTGTTTCAATCACTTTCCTATAAGCTGGTTTATATTAATTTCAGTTTGTACTTAAAAAAAAAATAAATCCTGCCCCTTCAACAATTCTATAGAGCAGGCAAGGCAGGTAGGATTGACAACATGTTCCCAAAAACTGAGGCGACCAGGGGTGACCTCCTTTAATGTCGTGGGTGAGTTAAGAGATCCCACCTCCCACCTCTTGACTCCTGGTCCCACACTTTTTCCTGCAACATGACACAACAAGCCCCAACAGGGCTTGGAAACTGGGGAAGACTTGGCCTTGAGTTGCTTGAATGATGCCTACCAGTTGCAAGAAACTCAACAATGCTTAGCAGAGAGTGACATTAAGGGCTGATAATCAAATACCCACTCACTTCTATGTTGACTTGGTTGATATCAAGGAAATATGTCAATCTGGCTTAAAAATCAAGATTGATCAAACCAATTGAGTTGACTTGGTTGATATCAAGGAAATATGTCAATCTGGCTTAAAAATCAAGATTGATCAAACCAATTGCCTGACCTGAACAGTTCGAGAGGCTGAGGTATCCAGTTGGCGTTCTCGGTCAATAGAATTGCCCTGTACCTGTGTCCCCACGGTCCCAGGAAGGAGTCCATACATGGGGCTTCTGAGCCCGTGAAATGAATGGGGTCCATATTGGGCTTAATGAAGCAGGGATCTGTTACTTTCACCAAAGGAATTAGCAGAGGAATTTTGTATTTATTTTCCAGTGGCAGCAGATTAAGCACTTCAGCAAAATGTGGCAGTTCACCAAAACAGGTCTTAGTTAGGCGCTATCTGAAATCATGAAATTAAGTAGGAAAACATACACACAGGAAAGGTTTCTATGTTTTAGAAAAATAAATCCAAATTTTAATAAATGATACTCTTCACAAAATACACCAAACAAATGACATATTTTCATTGGCCAATAGTGCCATTTATGCACATATATCATTTTCTGGTGCCAAGCCCTCGGCCGAGCACCTCTCCTCCCAGCCACCCCATGAAAGTCACTACAGGAGGAAGCTCCAGGGTCGGAGATGTTAAAAGTCATCTCCCCCAAGTGGAAACAATGGGATTCCAATCCAGGTCTGATGACTCCCACACCAGTATGCCGCCCTGTTACCTGTGTTCTCTTAGAACACTGAGAGAATGTGCTCTTTTCTAAACAGGAAGCAATGAGCGTTTCCTAAAAATGGCATCATAAATCACTCCAGGAGCTAAGGAGTTAACCTGGCCACAGCTGGGGGACAAGCTGAGAGAAGGCAGGCCTAACTTGACACATAACAACACCCTAAGAGGCAAGCGTGTGACAGGTAAGCGGGAAAGAATAAAGGCAGCCGACGGAATCGATGTGCTGGTATTGTTCATAAATTATTGACCAAGGTGATAATGTGACAGATGCTTGAAATGCTTTTCTTCTTAGCTACGTAAAACCTGACCTCCACATTCAGTCTGTTCCCTCATGCAACAAACCATTTCTGAGCACCCACCCCAGGCCAGGCAGTGTTCTGGGCAGTGTGACTATAGCAGTGGCTCCAAGAGCCGCAAGTTTCGGCCTGGGTGCAGTTGACATACGCTCCGTGAGACAATGAGGAAACAGAAAGGGAGATGGAGGAGAAGATCTGGGTTTTAATTCTGGCCAGACGGCCTATAAAGCAAATTACGTGTACTCTCTCTGAGCCTCTGTACCCCCACCTCCACACTGTGGGTAATAATATCTGTTTTTATTAAATCATTAGGAAAAATGTGAGTTTGTATGTGAAAAAACAAACAAACAAACAACTACTTAGTCTTTGGTCTTGGAGAAACTGAGGTAGTTGACAAGGAAGAAAAGTTTCCTCCTCGTTATAAAATTATTCAAAATATTTCATTCCCTATTGTCCACGATCGAAGCTTTCTGGGTTTAATGTTAACCATGTGCAAGCCTTGTGGGGTCAGGATAAGGTCATTCTTCCATACCTTAGCCACCAACTTCCAAGTCTCCGTAACAGGCTTAAGATGCCATTATTATATACATTTCCCCTTATTGGGTAAGGAAGTTGGATTTAATCTATTTCAGTGATTATTTCACTTTAGGACTTAGGGATACCGCTTCATGCCCGCCTCTTTGGCAAACAGTCCATAGCAGTGGATCATTTCTAAAATCTTTGGGTAATTTTCCTTCCTATCTTATTCCATGATGATTATTTCACTGAGGGTAAAGTAACAACTGGGTGGGGATGGCTGTGTCCTAGGTCCTCAGAAAGGACCACCGCCTGGCATGCAGCCACACCTCGTTGATTAAATCAAAGTAAGAGATTGGTTCCAGTCTCTGCCTTCCCTGACCCCCCCTCCCCCAGGTTGGGAGACGGAGCGGGTGGCGGCGGGGGGTGATTTCCAAGCTTGTTTTTATCGGCCCAGCAAATCAGAGCCCTGCTTCTGAACAAAGGGGTGCCAACCTTGAGGCGCTATGAAAGCCAACACAAGCCAGGAATTGTGCACGAGTGAAAAGAATATAATTAGCAGAGTTACAGTCACAATTAGGAAATACCTCCTCAGAGAAGTTTCCACTGAACTCTGAGCAGCGCTCAAATTACTACTGTGCTTAACAAGGCCTCTGTCTCTGGGCCAGCTCAGACCTTTGGGGCAAATCTAGGAACAACTGTGTGTCCATGAAACACAGACACACCGAATCTAACACTGGATTTGTGTGTGTGTGTGTGACAGGTATAAAAAAAATGTGCAAATTGGGACATAGAGGCTATCATTTAAAAAAAAAAGAAGAAACATAGTCTCAGAAACGACCGGTACAATGTCCGCTAAGCTGTTCCTTCTGAGGTCTCTCTCAGTCTTCTCGAGCCTTCCTGTCCCCACCCCTAGAGAGACGCCAGGCCAGGGGGATGAGGACGGCAAAAGCAGGTACTCACTTCATCTCCAAGATCTCCTCCAGCTGCTTTCTCCTCTCCACCCGGAGGTTGGCCAAGTGAGTCTCCTTTTCCGCCAGGGACTGCTGTGTGGAGGCGAGGCGCGCCTTGGTGGCGTCCAGCTCCTGCCTGCTCTTCTCCAGGGCGGCCATCAGTTCCTCTATCTGAAAGGCACGGTGCACAGGGTGTGAGCTCTCCGCCATTCCTTGCTAGCCCCCGTTCTCACAACCAACACAAAGGAATCACGGCCGTCCTCCAAGGGGCCGCTGCACCTTGAAGCTCGGTCTTCCTTCGCCATTCGTTCAAAATAAATGTTTCCAACATGAGAAATGTCCAGATTTCTCCAAGGGCCTCATTCAGTTGGACTGTCCAATAACTTTCATCGAAACTGGTTGATATATTTATTAGAAGTGGAGGGTGAGTGGCATGACCCAATTTCAACCCGTGTTTGGCAAAAATTTCAGACACTGCGACAGAAGGGAACACTCAAAAGGCATTTTGCCCAACACAATGGACTTTTGTGTGCAGGCCCCAGAGTATTCTGACAGGAAGCTAACGTACGTCCTTCAGATTCATTCACGTTTTAACCTATCAAAACCTTGTTTGGTAAAAGCAATCTGATGTGCAGGGGTCCTCAGGAGCCCCCTCCTACCTCCCCTTCCTGCCTCCCATTCAGGAGGCAAGATTTGACCAAAGGTAAATAGGATTCCAGTCACAAAAGGTTCAAGTCCAGTTTGACCCTGAAGCTTGGGAGGGATCTAACCTTGAAATGAATGACATGTAACTTTTATAGGGTGTTAATACACCATAGGAATAAGTCAGACTATCAAATATCCAGGGTTTTTAGCCAGGTCCCCCAAAATTGGACTGGGAAGTCCCAAGGCAAGGCCCTATCCCTCCAGACCACTGGGGGCTTGCAAAAGCCAACAAACAACAAAGAAGGCTGGTGTTTATGGTTCTGTTCCACAGACTTCCGTGGAGCGAGCCGGGGAAATGCCATCTTCTGCACAAACGCAGCCCTGCATGACCCTGCTGATTTAAAACCGTAGCTCCAGGAGGTTTCTAGATTCCAGAGCTGATGTTTGGGTTTCTAAGCCACCCCTTCCAGCTTGACTTGGCAGAATGGGTTCATCCATCACTAAAGTCAACAGAACACCCTTCAAGATGTGTCAGTGACATGGTAAGTTCCAATTCATGAGGGCTTTCTACACAATTTCTACTGCTTTACACAGAATTTATTCAGCATAAGCATAACAGTTCACATTCAAGGTAAATTACAGGCTTTTAAGAGTCAGAAAACCCTCCATTTTTCCTTGATAAAAAGAGGAAATTTGAAGACCATGGAAGGGAAGTTAAAGCCAAAACCGAAATCAGTTTATAAAGCAAGGAATATAAGGGGTAACCTGGGGATGTCACAGAACTACACCTGTTTAATTACAGAATAAAGAGTATTATTCTTTAACTTTAGAAATATATAAAACCTAAATAAGCTAACTTTCTAGTTTCTCCTATGAGTTCACAGAATATCTTGAGTAAGACTAGAAGTCCTTCTGCAAAGCAATATTTGGTGAGACTGAAACAGAGCTTTCTCCCTCCTCCTTTTTTTCCTTATTTTTGATACACCCAATGGAACTGCAAAAAAAAAAAAGATTAGAATTACGATCATTCCAAGTGCCAGCTCAGACAGTCTACCTGACCCTGCACATGGGATGGCCTGTGTCCTCAGAACCCCACTTCCTTTCATGAACTGTTCTTTATCCCACATGTACGCTTGATCCCAGCACAGAGGCGGGGCATCCAGGATTCTCATCTGCTGAGTCCCTCTCATCACAGGAGGTGATCTGCCTGTGATCTGCAGACACAGGGCTACTCAACAGGGTCTCAGGTTCTTGGTTCACCTGCCATCGGATGGGGGAAGGCACCAGCCCATTTTCTATTAATCCAACTTGAGCAACCCCACTTTGGACAAGCGACCTGCAGGCTGCCCCGGTCACTTCAGCAGCAACCACCTGGGCACTGAGAGGTGTCACCCGCAGGTTTTACTAATGGGGATGCCATTGGCTTCCAACAGCTCTAATTCCTAGCAAGAGGCGAGACTGCTATCTTCCACACCCTGGAAGCAGAGTCTCAGCGGAGCTATGCTCCACCTATGGCACTGCGCACAGAGGGCCACCTGGGGCCCTGGCTTCAGGTTCCTCTCCTGGTCTTCACACAGCCACTGTTTCTCTCTGTAGCTTTGTGCAAATGATCACTTGACCCTTGGTGTCTCGGCTTCCTCCGTGATGCCCTGGTCCCTCCTGGGATAATGTTAACAGACTTTTGCAAACTGTTCCCTTTGCTACCCAAACACACAGGAGCATTACCAAACAAGAAGTGTGTCCCCTCTGCCCCTGTGGTCATTAGGGCGGCCCTCATACCCAGCTCTCCTCCCCACAGATCATGTAGGACACACCTCCCCCATAAGCTGAGTAAGGCTTTGGCCAATAAAATCATTTGCACATAGAAGCATGTAAGTGTTAGCATTCAGTCCCAACCTTCCGTCTTCCCTGCCATGATGATGGTGGCGGCAGGTCTCAGATGTCTTTGAATGTGACTCTGAACTGAGCCCCGTGGCTCTGGGATTCAAAGATGCCTCACAGGGCTTACCGTCACAACTTACTTCCCCACTTCTGGGAAATACGCCTAAACCATTGATATCTTGTCAAAAATATCATTGGCCTGTCTCCAACATCAGAAGGGGTTCCCAGTGACCCACAAGAGCGGTCTCCAAACCGTGTTCCCTAGAGCACCAGGGGTTCCACAAAGGCGCCTGGGGGCTGATGAATAGGTCAGTGGAGTGGGTGGAGGAGATTGAATGAGCAGAGATCTTTGTCCACCATCCTACACTCAAAGGGAGATGTTCTCCTTTTATTTGATTTATATATAGCATTCCACTTAGGATATAATTAGAATTTTTTTTAATCTAAGTATTTTAAAACACTGAGAATGGTCAGAAGCATGGACTGGGAAGCCAGATGGCACCAGTAAACCCCGCCTTCCCACTCCGTGTGGGGGACCTTGGGAAGGCCTCTGCGTCTCCTCATCGATGGCAAGAGTGCCCCTCCTGAGGCTTACGGCAAGTATTCCATGACGTGGTGCATGTAAAGCCCTTCGTTCAGGGATTAGTAAAGGGAAGACGGTACGTTTTTCCAGACGAGGCAGCATGCGCAGTGGTTAAGGACAGAAATGAGGAGCTGGCTGATCTGTGTCACAGGCTTGGAAGCTTTCCGAGCCTCACCTTCCTCATGCGTAATGTGGCAGCAATAACAGAATTTAGCTCAAAGGGTTTTTGTGAAGATTCAGCGGATTAATCCGTGTGACACCCTAAGAACAAATGCCTAGTACTTGGTGCCATGGAAGTGTCCACTCTTACCAGTACAGTGCCTCCTAAATGTTCAGCCCATTTTATGACTGAATTCAAGGTTCTGTGCTTGCTGTCACCTGCAGTTAACCACACACACACACACACACACACACACACACACACACACCCTGCACTGCCCAGTGTTGACACCACCAATTAGCAGAGTTCCCCTCCTTTAAGGCACGGAGCCTGTGTCCTTTGCATACTGCAGTGAGCAGTCCTGGATGGAGCTCTGGCTCCAAAGACAGGATGCCTGGGCCCTCAGGCCAGTCTGAACACAGTGCTTCCTAAACTTTGTTGTGCAGTAGACTCCTTCCAAAGACTTGTGAAAAATCCTGATGCCACGGTCCCCCTGGAGGGCAAGGCCCACATCTCTGTGCTCCTTGGAAGCCCCTGAGGCCCCTGACACAATCCCAGTGTCCACACCCAATAAATCCCTGCGGAAGGGGAGGACAGGGAATGCATAGCCGTGACTCTGCAGCCCCCTCCCCTGACCCACTCACTGGGAACGTGATACTCGCCTGCCCCATCCTCACCAAACACCCTCCAGGTTCTCGTTCTCTGACTGCTTCGAGCACCTTCTCTTTGCTATGGAGACAAGGGGGCTCAGTCATGCAACTCCCGAATGCAAGGACGCGCTATGCTCTCCGCCACCCCAGCAGCCACTGAGAGCACCGGGGAGCCCGTGAGTTTGGGGAGGGAACAATAAAAATGCCCCCCGCTTTGAGCTGCGAAAGAAGCAAGCAGCTTTAGCCTTCCTCTGCATTCCATGCACCCTGCACTGGGCCCTGGGTGACGTGCACTCTGCCGTCCCTCACGCCATCACCTCACTGAGCGTCTCCCATGTGCCAGGCACTCGGCTGGACACTAGCAACAGGCTCGCCCTCAGAGGCTGCCTGGGTTGGCAGGCAAGCTTGACTCAAACAACTATTTGATCACAATTGTGATTTAAAAAAGAGAAATACTTAGGAATAAAAAACTATTAAAAGAATAAAACCTATTAGAAAATTAAAGACCTATTAAAGTGATGAGCATCAGCAGCCCAAAAGCCGGCCCTGCCCGGGGCCACATGGCAGGCCCCATAAACAGGCGAGTGGGGGGCCTGGGGAAGAGGTGGGAAGGCAGGCGCTGGCGGCCCTGGCTGGGGGGCCCTGGGGTCCTGTTCAGCAGGGAACTGCCACTTGGAGAATCACAAGATTATGAGCCAATAAATGCTTTTGAAAAGTCCAGCAGGAAAGCAACCCATTTGTCTCAATTTAACACAGCATTTGCTTCTTCTAGAAGCACATCTATTGGTAATTGACCAAACACTAATATTTCCTGCAGGGGGGAAAAAAAAAGTATAAGAAAGGCTGTTTAATTCCTAACATTGCACCCTCGATGAAAACGCAAGAATGCACAGCAACCTCAGAAGTCTTCTACAGCATTCAAGATGTTCCACTTAAAATTATTTCCTAAAAGGCCCCCAAATATGGCAAGACTGGAAGTCTCATCTTACTCTATCTAGAAAGCTAAGAGTACATTTTAAAGCATGTTGGCTTGATGTCAGCAGTCTAGAACATAATCACCAGAAGTGTGAATGAAGCTAGCTGTCTGGCCTCACCAATTAAAACAAAACAAAACAAGAAACCCTAAATGACTGTGTGTTGTTTCTGATTTCATTAGTCGTTCTACATGTCAGATCATAAAAACTCTCTTATAAAATGGTGAAGCTGCCAGACTTATTCAACTGGGTTTGGATAATTCATAGCTCTGCACTCT